TCGAGAAACATGACACCTAAAGAAAATTCGCGATAGACATGTTGAAGGACTTACTTCCTTGACTACAATTTGTAAATCTTAAATATAATTTTAGAAACAGGCAAGCGTGACCTACGGAAACTTTTTCCTCAGCAAAATTCCCGATTTGGGTATGCAGGCGGCCGCCGCCCCCGCGCGCCCCGCTCGCAGAGTGCGCTGCGGTCTCTGCATTCCGCAGCCCTATCTCGCGCTAGCATGTTTACTTTGTAACAGCGATATAACTCGGAATATCATTTAACAAGGGAATTCGCCCCGTGCGAGCGCCACCAGGCCGATATCGAATCAACAACGCAAATCAAAGGAAATGGCTAAATAAGAGCTTATGCAGAGTAGCACTTTGTGTCTATCGATTTTCATCTCTCGAGGAGATGATACGCCGGGGATGGGATTTGGGGGCGAGGACAGGACGGGACTCGGGCTGGAGGATTGAAAAATTGGGGGCTTAAGTGGATCCGGGCGGGAGATAAATAAAATACGTGCGGCTTCTGAGTAAGTGCCAGAATTTTTAAGATGTGATTTGTTGTTGCACTTTCCAAGGGATTTAAATTCAAAAGATATGCAAAATGAGTGCAGCTTTTAAATGAGTGACAAGATTTTAAAGATTGACCCCTATGACCCTTCTGAAAGGCTTCAAATTCCAAAGATATGTAAAATACGTGACGGTTTTTAAATAAGTGCCAACATTTTTAAGACGTGATTCTTTATTGCACTTTGTAAAGGTTTAAATTCAAACGATATGCAAAATAGGTACGCGCAGCTTTGAAATTAGTAATAATTGTTAATTGCTCTTATTAAAAGCTTTAAATTAAAAGCATGAATAAAATACGTGACGGATTTTAAGTAAGTGCCAACATTTTTAAAACGTGATTATTTATTGCACTTTTTAAAAGCTTCCAATTCAAAAGGTATGCAAAATACATGCCAATATGTTTGCAATATGATCTCTTTTATACTTCTTAAGAGTTTCAGATTGAAGAGATATATAAAATATGGGACAGTTTCTAAATAAGCGAGTTTTTAGGATGTGACAAAATTTGAAAGATCCGAAATATGTGAAGCTTTTAAACAAGTGCCAGAATGTTTAAAATGTGATTCTTATTGTTTTTTTTTTAACGTTTCAGTTCCTAAGACATGTGAAATACGTGATGGCTTTTAAATATGTGCCAGAATTTTTTACGTGACTTTTCACTGAAGTTCTTTTTAAGATATGGTTTCAAAGATGTTTAGAATACGACTAGTTCTGAAAAAGGGCAAGAATTTTGAAAATATGATTCTGTATTGCACTTTTTAAAATATTGAAATCCAAATGATATGCAAAATACGTGCTGCTTTTTAAATGTACGTGATAATATTAAATTTAATTCCTTTTTGTGCCTTCTAGTGATATCTAGATAAGGAGACAATATTTCAATAATGTACATATTATTTTCCAAATAAATGCGACGATTTTGAAGATTTAGCACTATATTATATTCTTTAAAACTTTTTAGTTCAAAATATACCTAAAATAATTTCATAAGCACTATTTAGAGACACGATAACGCAAAAAATATGTTGCATACCTGAGGTTTCTAAATAAATGTGAATATTTTTAAAACATTGCGTTTACAAATTTTAATCCTTAATAAGTAGTAACAAATTTTTTGCCAATGAAATAAAATACGATCTATTTCGATGGTTCTCTTATAATCCTGAATTGACCTCTGCATATATTGTAAAAATACGCCATATTTTCAATTATTGAAAAAAATACCCCAAGTATTCAACATACGTCCAATAATAAAATTGTGGAAATGTAAAATACAATAGTATTGTTACATTTTATTCAGGTAAACGTTTTTTAACAGATTGTGTATTGTGTATTGTGTGTATTCATGATTTTTTTAGGTCTCTGTACAATCCCAAAACAGGCACAAAAGAATATTTGTCATTTGATCAAAAAAACAAAATCCTGGATAGCATACATTATTGTAAGCTACATTTTGGTAGAACATAGATTTAAATTTAAATAAAATATTGCAACTTTTTTGTACTGATATACTTAATGCCAATGCCTCTAGATGAAAATTGATGAAATATTTATTTATAAATGTTAGAAAAATACTTTGGAATAAAATGTGATATTGCGTACTAAAACTTCCTATATCTTAGACGATTGAAAACAACATACAAGGTGATTCACAAATGGTGAACATTTTTGGAAAAGCCCTCAGATTTTGGACAATGTTTACATAAATAGATGTGCCGAATTTCTAATTATTTCACTTACTAAGACTCCCCTTTCACCAAAGAATACGTGATTTCATTTTTGGTCGCCATTTGTGAGTCACTCTGTATAATCCTACAACAAATGGAAACCTTGCTAAAGTTTCCCGTTGCTGAAAGTAATTTTTCTCATATTGTATGCACATATAAAAAAAAATTTCATTAGCGACACAAAATGTCAATACATAATCTCCCTCCCAGGCCGGTCCTGTAGTAGATAAGCTCCCTCCCGTTGTATAGAAAGTGTATTATTTTGTACTTTTTCCCTCAATCATCTATCAAGTTTTTACGGCTTTGTATTACACTTTTCACAAATTTATCTTGATGGGTTCCGAGCGGCGGGATATCAGGGGATAAGGTCTTCATCTGGTAAATCTCCCAGCAAAAATTGACATCCCCGACAAAAGTGAAATAGATGGAATCAATTCGCGTATTTCCGCAGCTACGGCACACCAAGAGAATTACATCTAGTCTCAATTTTTCGTCAACCAACCGATGTGAGATTGCCGTTATTTGAGATAATAATATTCATAAACCGCCACCTCTCACGCACAAATATGCACAATTAATTTCGTTTAAAAACAATGTTGCACACAGACAATGCTCGTCATCAGCGACGGCGATATTTTAAGTCCTAAAACATATATTATTCTGTAAGTTGGATTTGCGGAATCGAACGCCCTGTATACCTGTCGGGGAGGCCGTATATTTTACGTCCCTCAGACGTAACCCGGTTTCTTGGGGCGAATGAAACAAAAAGCGTATTCAAATGGCCAATATAAATCTTCCAGATGCCCGCCTATCCCCATGTAAAATAACAGGTCAAAGAGTGACTTTTTCTTTAATATATTTTTATTTATAGCCCGATTTCTCTGGTATCTGTCCGATACAATCTCGACGGGGAACGGGTCGCATGTTTCGACTTGTTTTTATCTAGTTTCGCCGGAATCCGGGGGGCCGATATTAACTGCTGTTTTTCCGAATAGGAGGAATGGAAGGATTCCAGATCGGACGGCCCTAAGGGGACACTTTATAATAGAATCATAACCGTTATATTTTATTTCGCTTCACGGGAAACGGAAGTCGTGACTTTCTGCAAAACAATAGATTGTTTTGATACTGGGTTTAATATACGAGTACAAATAGAGTGAGCAAATATTATCTGTTCTGCCAAAAGCAGTCTTGGGCGATTCTAATATCCCTGAATACACCCTTGATACATCTACTCACTACGCCAACTTTCTGCATCAATTTGTTAACTTTTGCGAATAACTAGGAGTTTGACCTTTATTATAAGAGACTGTGATATTTTATTTTCCAAACCACTATCGATTTAGTTATACCTGGGTAGCATGGCTTCAGGTCTGGTAGATCTATAACCCATTGCATTCAATTTATACAAAACGAACCCGATAACTTTTATCAACCATCAGAAGAGCCTCAGGGTGCGATACTAGGCCCACTGCTTTTTATTCCTTTCATCAATACAGTTTTAATGTTCAGGAGTAAAAGTGTCCACTATTACACTTTTGCATCACAATCTCATCTAACAAGTTCAACACCCTGTACGTCTCTGAAGGGTTTATTTCGGGATAGACGCGCTTTTCATTACGCGATTCGGATGTCAAAAGAATTCAATTACGTCGTGCATCGGGTATGAGAACGGCCCCCCGAAGACAAAAATTGGGGATGATTTCCCCGGAGGAACCGGGCCGATACACCGGCTGGCGGAGGCGCCGGGTACTGCGGCTTTGTCAAACCGGCTATCTGCGATGCCGTCCCATTTTCCATCCTCGACGTCTGTTAGGAGATAGTTTCCTCGGAATCGGTTTAGTATTATGCAGTTAAGGTTCGGCGAGGATACTGTACGTTGCTTTAACGTAATACGCTGCTAAATAAGTTAGGTGAGATTCGTTTACGCTACGGAGAGGGCGGGCGCGCTTAGAGGGAGGTCGTAACCGCTCTGGGTTTAATTTTCTACATTATGTATTATTCCGTTGCGCGCCGAAGCTATCCAAGATTATCTTGCGAGAAATGCTCTTCACCACACTTACAGCGAACAACAGAACATTTCCACGTATGTAGATTTGCCATAGGAAAGCATCTGGAAGGATATATATTCCAATGAGTAGAAGGAGAATACTGATTTATAATAATAAAAATAGTTATACAATAAATAACGGCGATATCTATCAGCAAGAAATCGGGTATTGGCAGATCAAACTTGATTAGTCAGGCACGTCGGCGTGCTGCTCTACAGGATTCCCAAAGGATCGATAGCCGAGTTATTGATATCAGTTTCCAAAGCATAGACAAAGTTACAGGAAATTGACTTTAACATATACACTTGATAATACGAATTCCTGTCATACTTTGATCGACGTTGAATAATGGTCGCCTATCTATATAGAAAAACTTTGCGGCGAGATTAAATGGTTTCCTTATAAGAAAGTCCATCATCCCGGGGAAATATTATCCTTAAGTAAACCGGGATACACTGTTAAATTTCCCATATAAAAAAGACAATGTGTTTGCCTCCGAAACTTACTTATCGTGTTTTGTTTCCAGCGGAATAGCTAAAGCAATTTATTTCACTATTATAAACTTATCCCACTTCTGATTTTTAAACTATCCCACTCCTGATGTTAATGGCTGAAATATTTCAAAATCATGTAACACTTTTTCTTTTGTTTCAGATTCCTATCTGTTGACAGCCGAGCTGGTGACAACGGCTGTGCTGACGATGGGGTCTCTCATACGGTAACAGAGAAGTGGAATGTGGAGTGAAAAGTTCTAAAAAAATAATCAAACCCATGTAAATAAATTGACTGAAGTGTAAATATTTTAATCAAAACTAAGAATAGAAACCAAAGTTGTTGTAATAATTGTACAATCTCAATCTAAGTCAAAAATAAACTCAGAAGGCAGTTAGTCTAACTGATGGGGTAAAGACATTGTGATACAGACTGTGAAAAGTGTATATAGAAGAGAAATGAACGCTAATATATAAAAAACTTTATGAGTGTAACATACATGGAACCTATAGATATATCTAGTACTGTGTACATTACAAACTTTTGTATATACTGACAACCGACGCCAATCAGGAATTAACGGATTTTGTTACGAAATTCTGACGAATAAACAGTTGTTACTACCTAAGTCATATGACTACGTACAATCATTTACTACCCTAAAGCTAAATATTTATGAATGTATGCTATTTGTTAAAAAAATACCTCCGGGGTTCGTAGGGAATTCAAACTTAAACGATTACAGTAGTTTACTGGGTGTACTATATAAAACAAAGTCATTTAAAGTGTAATGTTGTAATATGTATGACATATTTGTTACCCGAAATGTATGACCTGAGCTAATAAAAATGTTAAAACTTCCCTAAGTTTTTCATTTATTGAATATATTATCATACCTTTTGGACTGCGTGATGTCCACGCGTATTCATTGCAACGCCTGAGCCCATATTGAATACTGTTTTAGAGAATTGGACACCTGTTCTGGTCTCTCATTTGGCATAATTGAAGCCGTTGAAATTCTGTATTTTGCCAGAAATGGCGGAGCCACAACACCATTAGTTAGAAGCTGTCTGAAAATTTCCTAAATCAGATACCGAATAAGACGCTATTGTACTTTTCCGTAACTCTTTAGCTATCTAAATGGAACTAAGCATAACATCCGAATAAAGGAACAATACTTACATTATACTTGGCCTCATTCACGGTATACTCACCAGGTATTGCTTTCTTAAAGTTAAAGGAACAACAAAATTCTAACTAGGTATTGTATTGCCAACCGACTGTAATTGTCCTCGCGCACCTTCTAACCAACTTGGCTTATGAAATACGGATTAAATAATGTTTCGGCTCCCTCCAATTTTGCCTGCTTACAAAACAGGAACAACTAAACTTTGCTTATTAAAATTAGAGTTGGATAACGAACGCTGCGTATTTGGGGAACGGGACCGTCCTTAGGGGCGGTCCTGATTTTGCTAGCTCAAATGAAACAGAAAAATTTGCCAAAAAAAAATTAGTTGGCACGACAAGGCCAGATGGTTGCGCTAGCAACGTCACACTAGTGGTTTGCTTTGGTAAAAAGAGTCTGTACTTATTTAGGATATGATGTTTGTTCCTGGTTGGATAAAGATTGTTTATAGAGGGTGTGGCATGTATAATCTATAAAAATTAAACTACAGCTTCCTGATGATATTTGTGATAGAAAAGTCTTATACGAAAAAGTTCTATCTTCGCGTTTTTTCTTTGTAAATTAAAGTTTATTTATTCAACGAAAATGAAGGCTGAACCTGTGTTATTCTTTAAAAACTTTGGAAATGTTTTTATGCGACCCGAGATGCAACCTTATAATTTAAGTCGGTATAATCTAATACTAGTAAAACTAAAAGAAGGTTAGGTTACATTGTCAAAAAATTTGTGCAGTCAACTGATTTTGTATTTGTGTTGAATTCATTATTCACTTAATTATTAAATATTAAACATCGTCCATCGACCCATCAGTGTTAAAAAGTGAACGATTCCAGACAAAAGTTTTTATTTTGTAATTCCACGATAGTGACAGTGTAATTTTTATAAAGAAGTAAAAAACAAGAATAGCATGCCGATAAACGAAAAACGAGATACTAATTTCGTACTTTGCTTAATTTTTTAGTTTGTGCACAAACTAGTTTTAGAATAAACCGAGAAAACAATGCATTTACTATTTCCGTGTCGATATGGTGTTAGTGTATGGTGCAGCCAGAGAAAATGCGTTCGCGGCGACTAGGTTGTATGTGCAAATACAATTCTACAGTGCGTTCAGCGGCTGCGAGATACGGGAAGCGTTATTCCTGGAGGAGAAGGACATGGTCAGCAAGTGAACCTTAATGTGGAAGATGCAGTGTTGGAAAATCTTGACGAAGACCCCACAATTAGTACTCGACGACTCGCACAGCAAGTAGGAACCTCATCGCGCACCGTACATCGCACTTAAGGCGCCCGCTGTTGCACCCCTATCATCTGCGACCAGTTCAACAGATTTTACCCCCGGATTGTGATCAACGAACGCATTTTTGCGGATGGTTTCTACGGCAATGTGCCAATCAAGAGATGAGACGACATTTACCCTGATGAAGTGATAATCACGCAAACATTTGTAAGCCAATTCATAATTTAGAAATAAGGGCGCCACTGTAGGACTAAACAACGTAATCCCTTTTAAAAAAGCCGTATAATACGAACCTTTTTCTTCTACATATATAAGATTCTTTTCATGAGAACAAAGGAAGCCATTCGGCTAATTCCGGCCCTGCGTCAAACCTCGGTAATTTTATTTAATACTCTGAGAATCTGTATAGTAATCTAGGGTATTTCTGCGTAGAATTATTGATCTGTTTACTCTAGAGTAGGAAATTCAATTAATTTCTATTACCGCTCGCTATTCTATAATAAGTTAATATTCGCAGAGCCAACAGACAGTGTAGGGATTGTTTCTGTTTAGACGCAATAAGATTACCCTGAACCTTGTATTTGGTGTAATTATGTCGCATTTTTTTTTGTTGCTGACGCTCAGAGGGGATATGTTAATAGTAATACGGTAAGTTCCTTTTACAAATCTGCTAAATTATAAGTGTGCGATGAAACAGTAAACGATTTCAAAAGCACTACTAAAAAAAAATTGGTTAGAAATTTTATACAGTGTCCCAAAATTAATATGACAAAATAATACTATAACAGTACTTCAAACCCTATAAATTGGTTTTAAAATTGTTTATATTAAAATACAGGGTGTTCCTAAATAAGTGTCGCAACGGAAAACTGTAAATTCCTCTTGAAAAATGAAACATTATTTTCCTCTTCCATTTTTCTCTCCGAGCTTTCGTTTTCGAGATACACGGTGTCAAAACTTTATTTTTTTTTAGTTTTTCGCCAATATCATAGGAATCGTTTGAACTACAGGACTGAGCTTTTGTACACACATTACCACTATTAATACCTACTTTTTCGCACCCTTCTCGAATTCATTGGACGTGCCAGTGGTGGAGATTTTAAGGTACCGTAAAGGTTTTCCCCCCTAAATTTTACGCCACTGGAAAAATTGACTTTTGACAGCAAATTCTAAAGCGCCAATGAATTTTACACAATAAGAGTTCTCTTGGTTTATTGCTCTAAAGTCAACAGTTTTCAAGAAAAATGACTTTTTATGAACAAAAGCAAACATTTTTGCTAACGTTCCATGTCAATACTATCGAAAAATCTACACCACTGGCACGTCCAATGAATTCGAGAAGGGTGCGAAAAAGTAGCTATTAATAGTGGTAATGTGTGTACAAAAGCTCAGTCCTGTAGTTCAAACGATTCCTAAGATATTGGCGAAAAACTAAAAAAAATTAAAGTTTTGACACCGTGTATCGCGAAAACGAAAGCCCGGAGAGAAAAATGGAAGAGGAAAAAAATGTTTCTTTTTTCAAGAGGAATTTACAGTTTTCCGTTGCGACACTTATTTAGGAACACCCTGTATATAATAAAATTGTTTCTCGCGAGATGTACTTTTTTGCAAATCCAGTTTGCTGGCTTTTTATTTAATTTATTTATTTTTTTAATAAAACATTGTTAATTATTTGCCCTGTTACATTATTTTGTAAATATTTGTAATTTTATGGTAATTTTTTTATTCATTACCCCCTTCACTATTGCTATGATTATGTTTATTTAACAAACGCTTATCATAATATTCAACTGTTATCATAAATAAACCCACAAGTGTGTAGCTAATAACGAAGAAATTGCTTATGTTATCAATTATTATTAATGTGTCAATGACCACATATTAATTACATATTTATTTGATCACATAAAATTATTAACAGGGCTTATTTTTGGTGAAGCAGGTAAAGTTTGTTCCCCGTTGTTTTTCAACGAATCTTGACGATTTTTTTTAACTCAAACCACTTTTCAAAAGCTTTCCGAATATGTAATAATATATAACTATATCACGCGTGTGCGTCGTATATTTTATTTTGCAACTAAGGCTAAAAAATAAAAAAAATCCAGGTTGCAAAGGGTCTAGCAGGATAAGATAATGTCAGCGGCCCCAAAAAGGTATTTTGAAAATGACAATGTGGTAACATCGGCGAGATATAAATCTACCACTGACACAAATTCAGCCTCGCGTCTCGCTGCGTTCTGGTGATAATTGATCAAATAGGCGCTAGAGCGGGTATTTTTCAAAATTGTTTTTTTCGAAAACTATTCCAGCTATCCTAATGAAACAAAAACTGTTCGTTAGACAAAACATTAGTCTACATTATATATTTTTTATAGAATTTTTCTGTCTTATTTACTATTAAAAAAAAATAAAAATACTTTTTTTCTATTTTTGTAGATTTTATTCTTAGTTCACGCAGAGGTACAATCACAGAAAAAATATATAATGTGGCTTACTATGTCTAGTATTACTACCAAAAAGTGCAAGTGCAATAAAATGGGTGCAACACTATCAAAAAAAATCAAAACTTCTTATGACCATCTTAGGTACTACTGATTTCCCATTTGTGTCACCATTATCATCTGTTTGTTACTCAAAAATATATTAGGTAGTAGTTAAAAATGTAAGGAAGACGTTGATTTTGACGTAAACAGTTGAAAATTGTTTGTGGAACTACAACGTTTGTAGAGAACAAGACGAAACCTGTCGCTTTCGAGCTAGTCGCGTGTGTGCATTGTGTTTTGTTTACGTATCATTTTTATACCCGCATGACTATTGTAGCTTGACTACAATTATTATGTGCGGGTTGTTTCGGATTATTAAATTTTTTTATAGTTAAAGTGTTTCATTTGAACTCGCCTCACGGTTTTGGTTTGATTTACCTATTTTATTTTATTTTTATTTATCTTGTTTTGTTTTGCTTTATTTTATTTGTTTTATTTTGTTTTGTTTATTTTTTTATCTTATTTTATTTTGTTTTGTTTGTTTTTACTTTATGTTACTTACTGTTACTGTAGCAGTGGAACGGCCACTGCTTCTTTCTTCGTCGGCGAAACCCCTCTGGACGGCTAATGTGTAGTGGTTGATTTTGGGTTTTGTTAAAATAAAACGAAGAATTTTTGTTGCTTGTAACTTGTGAGCTGGTTGTTTGCAACGTGGAATTTTTCGTTGTAATATTGAGTCGTAGACGGTGATTTGACTTTGCGTAGTTGCGAATTCTTTTTATAAAGTTTGACTTATACAATAAACAACTATTGTCGACAATCGTTCTATTCTTCAGCAGTAACAGTTGCCATTGTTACATTACCGTATCACTTTTGCTGCCCGACTAACTACGAAACAAATCATACGTTTTTTTATCGGATAACAGTGAACTTTCCTCCGCTGAAATCCACGATTC